GATACTGATTTTGAACCCTTAAAACATGTCTTTCATTTCTTTGATGGTTAGGCCTCATTCTTGTTCTTTGGAAGATTAGGGCTGCTTCCTAAATGCATAACAATTAGAAGTTACCTTTACATTCAGCATTCATTCCATACTCTGGAGGGAAGTTTGATGGTGGTCCTTGAATGTTTACAGCTCAGAAGTGTTAGAAGGTTGCCTCACCAAGTTACATAAGCAGCAGCAGAGGGGAGTTTGGCCTGATTGATCCCCAAGGCAGTGGTTTTCAAACAGAATAGATGAACTCTCTCTGTTGGGGGGTTCTTGTAGTTTACGGGGCCACACATACACATAGGTGCTTCATAAAAAACTAATGATCTATTGCTAGTGATGTCATGGTACCCATTTTGGTCTTATTTATAATTTAAGTCTCTATTTAGGTTTCTGTTTATCTAGAACCCTTATTAGCCAGACTCTGAACCTTAACTGCAACAGAGAGCTATATTCATAAAGTATAACTTGACAGTCTCTTGTTGACCTTAGTATCAGTAGTCTTGTAAACTTACATACCCGAGACTCATGGTAGCTGATCTGAAATATAGCCTTTCCTTCCTAGATGGTTCTGGGATACAGATTCTGCTCAGGGCAGCTGGATAGCCCATTGTGTTTGTTGCCTGAATTGGTTTTTCTTCTTAAACTCTTAGCAGCTAACTGAAGAGCCTGCCAGAATGGTGCTTGCTGCATGCTTCCAGTTTGCTGTTGACTATGTATCATGTGTTCTCTCTTGACTGTTGTTCAGCTTTTCCATAGGGAAAATAATCAGTAACTGAGAAGCACAAGGAAACTTTACCTCCCTTGATGCTGAGAAACCTTGATGAGGAAGAAATCCTGGGAATGACTGCTCTCCTTTATCTCTGGGCAGCATCACCACATCCAGCTTTGGAAAGCAGACTTTCCTCAAGCCCCACTCTGGGTTTCAGCAAGAGCAGGAAGTAAACGGCCTCTCCTGTGTTCTGTAGATGGTTCAGTTCCTTGGAATTTAGAGGAAATTTGTCCACGATCTTCCGTTATAGCTTGTGTAAGATTCTGCTCTGAAACTGAGCAGAAGTTTCACAAATGTTCCTGGGAACCCAGACATAACTGGACTAATTGCTAGGTGGGCCTAGACTAGCATAGTGCAGTGGGTAGCTACTAGTTATTAAAGGGAAAAGCTACCAATTAACAACCTTTTAACGTGGTCTACATTCTGACCCATGTGTAAATTCCTCATTCTAAAGCTACACTGAACTAGAACATGTAATTTTCCTAAATGTGGAGACCCAGGTAAGCTCTCTCTTTTTTTGCTTGTCTTTCTTCCAGTGTTTCTTACCTGGTTCTTTAAACTTCCCTGATTGTGGGAAAGCCAGGAATTCACCTATCTGCAGAGTAGGAACATCTTTTTTACATTTTATTGTTTCTCTTTCTATAAACTACTCATGTGGTTAAAAAAAAAAGGGAAATTTTCTAGTCGAGTAAGGAAGATACATATCCATACAGATATCTGCTTTGAAAATAATGAATGTTCTGAGGCTGTCCCCTTGGTTTCCAAAGGGCATTGGTATAACCCTTTCAAAAAAGGATCTGATGTTTGGAGGTTGACATAATCCAAAACCAGTATGAACTCAATTTTTGGAAAAGTACACTTTATTGGTTAAAATGTGGTTATAATTAGCAAAGTGACTGTGCAAAATAGCATCCTGGTATTCACCATCACCGAATGAGTCAGCCAGTTAGTTTTCTGACAAAAAAGTCTTATTTTTTAATTTGTTTACGACTTCAGCACATTTACATAGTTCTGGCTGAATAAGCCAGAGAATATCTGAACAAAATAATTAACACTTTGAAAAGACTATACTTTCAAATGTCAAAGTGTAAGGTGTTGTATTTGTATAGGAGCCAGAACTAGCAATCAGGAGACGTGGGCCCTAGTCCTCGGCCTGCTAATGATAGTATGACTTTGGGCCAACAGGGTAAGCTCTCTGAATTTCCGCTTCCTCACTTCTCAAACAGGGATATTAGCTTTCCCCTGTCAATCTCATAAAATTGTTATCAGAATCAAAATAGGTAAAGTATGTACAAGTGCTTTGTAAATGGAAAAGTTCCACACAAATGCAGGGTGGGTGTTATTATTCTAATGGGCTTGTCTAATATGTCACAACACAATCCAAACTATCATTGAAGGCGTTGTGTGAAACATTGTGGAAAGTGGAGTCTGCTTTGTTTGGCAAATTGGATTCCGCTTGGTTGGAAAACAAACTGAAGAAGCTTGAGGAAAGGGTTTGAAAAGAATACAAGTCAAGTTTTGGAAATGCTCTTGTTATGTGAGTTTCTGATTGTAATTGACTTCAAACACGTTAGTTTGATTGGAATTACGGTCATAAGATGACCATATGAGGCCAGTGTCACAAATTTAGCTACTTTCAACAATTGAAACTACCTTTTTGTTATTTACTGACCTGTGAATGTATATTTACATAAAGATACACATGCTAATCAGTCTGGACCATGGGGCACAGTTTTGTCCAGGGACATATGGCAAAGTCTGGAGACATTTGGGTTGTCACAACTAGTTGGGGGGTGCTACTGGCATCTTGTGTGTTGAAGCTAGGAATGCTGCCAAACATCATACAAAGCACAGAACAGTCCCGCACAAAAAATTATCCAGCCTAAGAAGCCAGTGGTGCTGAGGCTAAGAATAAGCCCTTAAGCAAAGAAGACATTTAAATGAAGTAGAAACACTTATAAAGTTGTTACTGGGTCTTTGGTAGGTTACTAAGGGTGGAAGAAGACTTTGTGCCATCCAAGGAACTAAGTTCTCTACCCATCTTAAAATTCAAGATTGTTTTCCACAAGCATCTAAAATGAAAAAGGCTTCATTTTCTTTACCTAAGAAATTCCCCTTCTTTTCCTTTTCTGTACCAACTCTTCTCTTGAATTTCTCCTTTGGTGACAACTCACTTTCTAGGGAGTGGCAGCTTTTTTGGGGAAGGAGGCACACCCGCTTTATTAGTTCAAGTAAGAAGTACTATGAATGGAATGTGTAGTAGACTCTGGGAGAACCAGACCCTGTGATTTCCTTATAAAACTACCAGCAGTTTCCCACCTTATAAGATGGACACAGTGATAACCTAAATGTTTCAAAATATGTTTGAGAATGACCAGGTTTATGATATTTGTAAAAAAAAAAAAAAAAAGTTTTTTTTAATCAAAGGTAATATTTAAAACAGTAGATGGTGTATGTCTCTATATCATAGTAGGAACTTTGCATTTTTATAGAAAAATTTAATATTTTGTATTATTTTTAGACTTATCAGATAGACATTACTCATTGGATTCCTTGGGGACCATGCTATTTCTTAGAATAATTGCTTAAATATCAGAAGTGGGCAAATCAAGAAAAGAAGGATTCTGATTATTTCAAGTTATGGGTAATTGTGGCCATAGCAAAGGCAATCCTGAGTTTAGAAATAACTCATCCCAGCCTCGGGAGACCAAAGCTGCCTCCCACCCCTCACTGCCAAATACTGAAGAAAAAATAAGACAACAACAACAACAAAAAACCCCCAAACCTACTGCCATCGTCAGTTCCAACTCATAGCGACCCCCATTGGGTTTCCAAGTGGTAATATGGAAATAGATTGCCCCATATTCCTTCCACAGACCAGCTGGTGGGCAGGTGCGAAATATCTTGTGCATTTGGAGACTTGGCAGAGAAGCAGGAGGAAGCAAGAATGATGGCTCAGTGCTACCCCTTGAGGTAGCTTTGGGGAAGGCAGATCCAACTTGGCCGTGTCCTACCCAAAAGTTTTCCTCCACGTCCCCCAACTTTTTCACTGCATTTGTTAAACATTGCCAGAGATTTCACTTGGAATACCAAGTGTATTTCTTAAAAAGCAGCTAGCATCTTGTGCCTGCCTTTCTTCATTGCTCCATACCCAAATCTTTCTCTTTCAAAGTTTAGCTTAAATTAAATACCACTTCTTGAAGGTATTCCCTTCCGCCTTGGGAGGAACCTTTCCAGTTCTGAATTCCCATGGCATACTGTCTGACTCACAGAATCCGTTGCTTTTCATTTTGCATTTTGATGTGTTTCGTCTCCCCTGCTGGACTGTGAACCCTTTGACTCTACAGATCTTGGCTAATAAATCATCATCCCCACCCACTTCTACCCCGGGGCTGGAGCCCACACAGTGCTTGACTCAGAGCAGGCACCAATGTGTGCCAATGGAGGAGTAAATCATCAGGCAGTGAGGAATGTGGTGGTCCTTGTCTTCATATCTTAGTAGGAATCGCCAACCCTGCTTTCCTCCTGCAAGCTAGAAGAAGGCATGGGGCCGTAGTGGGCACAAACACACTGAACATTTGTAAAGATGATGGAGGAAAAACAGGAAGGAAGGTGGAGGAGGAGCAAAGATAAACCATGGCTGTTTACAAGTTTTCACCTAGAAATTACGCAAATGCAATGCACTGCTGTTGAGTTGGATCCGACTCATAGTGACCCCTCCTTGGGTTTCTGAGGCAGTATCACTATGGAAGTAGATTGCCCAACCTTCCTTCCGAGGAGTGGCTGATGGGTTTGAACTGCCAGCCTTCTGGTTAGCAGTCAAATGCCTTAGGCACTAGGCCACTAGAGCTCCCTCACCTAGGAAAAGGGGAGAACGTGTTCTTTGTTCTTACCCTTCCACCATCATAGGGTCTTTACTCCCAGGATTCAGAACACAGGCTAGTGTGATTAGAGTTCAGCTAAAGTTATGAGTTAAATAGGGTGTAGTCATCTACCTGGAGATCATCCCCACGCTTGATTAGACTATATCTGTGGCCCAACATGACTAACTTAGGCATATTTTGGGAATAGTTTGGAAATACCTGTAGATTGACTAGAAGTGCAAATGAACTATCTTGTTAAATTGAATGGGAGTTGATGAAATCTGTTAGGATCAAATGGTAACCTATCTTTTTAAAATTTGCCTTACAGGAAAATGGCAGACAGTTTTTCGGTGAGTGATTTTTTTTTTGTATGTTTTTTTTTTACCCTAATACACATTTCACGTAAGTTGGGGCTTTTGTTTTTGCCACCAGACTTTCCTGCTTTAACTCTCTCACCACGTGGCTTCCTGAGGCCTCACCTTGGGAGGGCTTGGGAGCTGGAGAAGAACAGATTTGGGAAGCAGCCAGGCGGAGAGAGCCTGTGACTCATGAACGGTTGTTCCGTTACAGGAAAAACCCAGGACAGAGGAGGGTGAATTTCACAGGCTAGAACAGAGAAATACTGTAGGCAAAGGCAAGTGCAGTATAGTCCAGCAACCTGGTTTTTGTGATGGTTTTCTCATGTTGGTCAGAAAGCATGTGCTTTTAGATAGAGGATAACTAGCTCCTGATTTTAGCAAATCATAAAAATGCAGCTCTCCGTGATCCAAGATAATGGCAGGCAAGAATAAAGTTCTAAAAAAGCCCAAATTCACTGCTTTCGAGTTGATTGTGATTCGTAGAGACGCTCATTGGGTTTCTAAGGCTATAAGTCTTTATGGAAGTAGACTGTCCCATCTTTCTTCCACAGAGCAGCTGGTTGATTCGAACCACTGACGTTTTGGTTAGCAGCCAAATGCCTTAACCACTACACCACCAGAGTTAGAGTATATGTAATCCCACAGTTTACTTTTAGTTTTAGGAACTCAAACTCTCAAGACTATTGTTGTTGTTGTTGTTATGTGCCATCGAGTTGGACCCGACTCATAGGGACCCCTCCTTGGGTTTCTGAGGCAGTATCACTACGGAAGTAGATTGCCCCATCTTCCTTCCGAGGAGTGGCTGGTGGGTTTGAACCACCAGCCCTCAAGACTATTAATAGGTGGCAAATGTTTATTGATATGAATTTCATGTCTTTGCTATATTCCTGTACTTCTTAGATCACATATTCCTGTTTTCATAAAAATTATGTTTTTGTGAATATTTTCCAGTTTTTTATTGTTTCTTTCTTTCTAGCTTAATGATGCCTTGTCTGGGTCTGGAAACCCCAACCCACAAGGGTGGCCTGGCCCATGGGGAAACCAGCCTGCCGGGGCAGGGGGTTATCCAGGGGTCTCCTATCCTGGCGCCTACCCTGGGCAGGCACCTCCTGGAGCCTACCCTGGGCAGGCACCTCCTGGGGCCTACCCTGGGCAGGCACCTCCTGGGGCTTATCCTGGACAGGCACCTCCTGGTGCCTACCCTGGCCAGGTACCTCCAGGGGCTGCCTACCCTGGCCCAACAGCACCTGGAGCTTATCCAGGCCCAACTGCACCTGGAGCCTACCCGGGGCAACCGAGTGGACCTGGAGCCTACCCACCTCCCGGACAGCCAAGTGCTCCTGGAGCTTACCCTGCTGCTGGTCCCTTTGGCACCCCTGCTGGACCACTGGTAAGATGTAGTTATTTCATGCACTTGACTGTGATCAGGACAAAGTTAATGAAGAATGCAGCTATTGTCTGGGACAATACAGGCATCACTTTTGAAGGACTAGTCATATGTTGGTTCAATAGAAATGTGATTGTTCCAATTGAGTTTATGATATGCACTGTTAGTGTAAATAGGCAAAGGCATCTTTTGAAGGAATCTGTAATGTTGCTTTAATGTAAATCAAGTTAAGATCATGGTAGGTAGGGGAAAGTTTTGGTTACTATTATTAATAAACACTGAGTACTCAACACATGGTAGAGTGTGTTATTTCATTTAGCCCTACAACCACCGTGAAGTACCTGAAGGTACTCTTATCATCTCCATTTTATGCATGAAAAGTTATATACCCAGAGTCATAGAGGAGAAATGTGGTAATCTGGTTTTGAAAACTTTTTTTTTTGTTATTGAAGGATTGACTTCAGTTTTCATTCAAAGTGAATTCTAGTGTAAAACTTAACTCTGGAGGGAATCAGATTCATCTCAAACACAGATCTTGCCCATCCAGACTTACAGTCTAATTGGGAAATAAAATACAAATATGAGGAAAAGAGTTAAATAACAGTAATGGGGATTAGCCCATTTTGGACTATGCAGAAGACAGACAAGATAATATCTGATCTCTTGTTAGTTCAGTTTAGAGGAGATTTCAGAGGAAGCATGGAGAACATGGGTGGCATTGAGCTGGGCCTAAACTGGAGATGGGTAAGTCAGTTGCTGACAGAAGGGGACATGGAGGCTGTGGAGAGGAAGAGGCAGGTGTGATAGAGACAGTAGAGGAAGAACAATCCTCCTCCCCCACCCCCTGGATCTTTTAATTAAGCCTTAGAGGTCAGAGATGACTCTGCCCTTTCAGGGCTGGACAACTAGCATCAGAAAGTATTAGCCTAAACTGAGAACTCAGGAAGGGGAACTGATAGGGTGTCAGGGGGTGGTAGACAGTTATAATTCACATCTGTTGGATTTGAGGTACTGGCAGCAAATCAGTTAGGAGGAGGTACAGGAATGTTAAGGCAAAAGATTGGGGCTAGGGATTAAAAAAAAAGATGAGTGATAGTTGAACCCATGGCAGTAAAAGAAATTCATAGGGAAACACATAAGTTGAAGAGCCCAGCGATAGAGCTTTGGGAATATTCATAATACCTTGAACATAGATGTTCAAAAATATATGTGCAGTGCACTAGGGAATGTTTTAACTAGAAAGTATTTATTCCAGATACTCACTGGGCACTTGCTGTGTACAAAGCAATGTGCTATGCCATATGAATGGAGTGTGTGAGAACCCAGAAGCCCAGAGAGTGAGTCAGTGCTTGACCTTAGAGAGAATAACCTCATAGGGGCAACTGGATGTTTAGAAATAACCACAATGAAATATATTATGTGACAAGGACGTTAAGAGTGGCACAAAAATGTACTTCGATTGCAAGGTCTAGTTAAAGCCTTTTCAAAAAACCGTTTAAGTGAATGAGTTAGATTGGTGTGGTCACTGGTAATATGAGCCACAGAAAGGGAGTATTTTCTGCTTTTGCCATCAATTAACTGATGGTTTTATTCTCAGTTATTATTTGTATACAAAGGGAGAGGGAGTCTTACCTCTTTAGGTCTGAGACAAGGTGGCCTGACTGAGAGTTTGGGCAAACAGCTTAAATTAGGATTGCACTGTTATTTGCAAATTAATAGTGATTGAACATTGGCAACATCTTTGTTTCCCCAAGAAAGCATGACACTTTCTTTATTGACACATATATTTTTGCATTCCCAGACTGTGCCATATGACTTGCCTTTGCCAGGAGGAATCATGCCTCGCATGCTGATAACAATTCTGGGCACAATGAAGCCCAATGCAAACAGGTAAAAAGCAAAATTAACAAGCCTAATGTATTCAGTAATTGGATTTTTAATAAAGGATAATATATTTTTCATTTTAATAGGATTTTTTAGAATTACATATTTAGAATCTTGGCTATACCATAGTATGGGATTATTCCATAAATCAGTACTTGTCCCCATCTAGAGTTCCACTTTGTAAGGACAAAGAGACAAGAGAATAACACATTCTGTTGGTTATTCCTGGTGGTGAAAGCCTTACAATAAAGGAAAGTAGTGCCTTTTAAATGTAATGTTTGTCCATCCCTCCACCTCTGAGCTATATGTAAAAGAAAAAGCATGCATTCTGTATCTAGATGCCCACTAAAATTAGGGTCAAAACCAGCAGATCGCATTCGACCTAGCTGAATTGATCTCAAAGCTTGACTATTTATTCTACCAGTCTGTACTCATGTAAGTATCTCCCATCTCCCCACATTTGGGCAGGTCCCCGAGCTCTTGAGCTCTGCTGTTGTACCGGTCTGTACTCATCCTGATAATCATCACCCTGCATTGGGGCGGGTCCCCAATCTCTTGATCTGCTGCCATTTCCCTCTTCCCACTGAGTGTGACAGCAGAGTTACAGATTACTATGGTGTCTCTCTGGTCTCAGTGGCAGTACCATCTCACTTTGGATAGTAATAATCTTATTGCAAAAGAACTTGGTATTTCAAGGTTGATACTTTACTTTCCAAAGCTATTGTGGCAGGTCAGGGTACAGCATTTTCAATGCCATGAGCTCTGGCCTCACCATCTAGCAGTGCTGTAACTTGGCTAAGAGGTACTATAGGTAAGAGTTTAAGCAGCTCCTCTTCCCACATAATTTTTCTTAGTGCTAAGGTTACTTAGAGTAAATGGTAACACACTCCATTCTGTATCTTAACATGTATATCTTACTTAATCTGCAGGGCAGGCAATATTGCTATCCCCTTTTTATGGATAAAACTGAAGCTCTGGTTCTATAGGTGTAATTGGTAGGACTGGGAACCTCAGTGTTCTGTGTAGATACCATTTACTTATTAGTTGGAACTGATTTGAGGTGGGCTAGGATGGGATAAGGTTTACTTGAGCATGGATGATCTATGGCTTCCCTGGGATACGCTGGCTCCAGTTATCATATTAGTTATAGTTACATATAATATGAGGAGGCCTAGGAGTCCCTGGGTGGTGCAAAGATTAATGTGCTTAGCTGGTAACTGAAGGGTTGGAGGTTTGAGTCCATTCAGAGGCATCTCAGAAGGTCTGGAGATCTAGTTTTGAAAAATTGGCCATTAAAACCCTGTAGAGCCCAGTTCTACTCTGACATACGTGGGGTCACCATGAGTTGGAATTGACTCGATGGTAACTGGCTTAACTGGTAAGGATGTACCGAAGCCATCCAGTGTACCTGACCCTAAGATGAATACACTATCATAGTGCTAAAGTTCCCAGAGTCATTAGTCTGGGTCTGTGGGTAAAGGTACAGTTTAAAGCCATGTACACAGGTTTATTCAAGAATCCATAAAGGGCCTGGTTGTCTGTCACCTTGCTCCTGATGAATCAACAGGCATCACCTCCTGTCACTAGAGTAAGACTCAGTTTCTGATCTGATAATTTTGTATTCAGATAGTCTAGCCAGCCAGCCTCCTCTGGTTCTGTGTGAGTCACTACCCTAAGGCAAACCTTTCTCTCCACACCCATGCAGTGTCTTGCAAGCACAGTATTTCCCTGCCAATGTCTTCATCATCTTTCCACCCCACTAAGTGCAGAGGCCAGCACACCTTATTTTGTGCATGCTGCTCTCTGATTTGTTAATGTCTGTTTTCCTCCCACAATCCTTAGCACACAGACCCATACTGGTATTTTTGTGTTACTTATGGTTATTGTACTGGGAATTTCAGTTGTGATAATGCTGGAGATGTATATTGAGGCTATGGCAGATCAAAGCTAATTTTAATTGGGATGGTCCAAGTGGTATTAAACTGAAAAAACTGTTGCCTGTTCCTGCAAATTCTGTGAGGAATTGCATGAAAAAGAAATGCCTAAGGTGACAGAGATGACAGAATATCTTCCTTTTCATTGAAGAGAAAATACAACTATTGGATATTTAGTCAAATACAAATCCTATTGTCATATGACTATCTTGGCCTTTTCCCTGGGAATTTAATCATTGGGATGTACATTTATGGTTGAATATGACTGTTACTGGGTCAGTCAGAAGACCAGAAAAATCATTGTTGGTAGATCTAGAGTTCAGACATTGCTGTAAAACAAGACCACCAGCTAATTCTGTTGGTAGTGCTCTCAAGGATAGGGTGTTCTTAGCAATCACAGGGAACATATGTTTGTATTAACATTCAAGGAGAAGGAACAGTGTCAAAAAGTTAAACTAGCACTTTCATTAATTCTACTTAACATCATGGAATGTTGAAACATTTATCCTGACTTTACAACTTAGTATCAGCATACTAAGTATTAACCAAATTATCCATCCTTGCTATTTCTAAGAATGAGGTTTCTGGTTAACTATAAGGAAGTTAGATATTTTTAGCTCTTAAGTATTGTTCTTGTTACCTAGTACCGCTCTGACAAGCACATACCGCAAATGGGATGGCTTTAACAAACAGGAGTTTATTCTTAAAATTTGGAGGCTTTAAATCCAAGTTCAAAATGCCAGGCTCTAGGGTCTAGGTGAAAGCCCCTCAACCATAGGCTTCAGCTCTGCCTCCTTCTCCTGGCTCACTGATGCTGGAAGCTTTTCTTCACTCAGCTGCTGGCTGCTGAGGCTGACAAACCTAAGGTCGACAAGTAACAAGGCAGAGTCCTGATGTTACCAAACCACATGGCAGGCCACAAATTCAAGTCCATTGAAAGTCCCAAGGTCGGCAGAGCATGGCAGGATGCTGAACAGTGACACAGCTACATGTAGGGTTCAAGTGTGCCATAAGCTAGAGACTATTCCTAAGGCTTCTCCTTATATACAGGAAGCAGGCCACATCCCTAAGGTAGCTACTCAGCTGCTCACAGTAGATTCCACCATGGAGTTGATTACCAGTTTCTTCATGGGAAATACTACATCCAGCTGCCCGGTTACTCACCAGTCCCAACCAAGTTGACCCACAAGCTTTACCACAAGTATGTAGCTGACTTGCCTTTAACAGGTATTAAAAGCAACCTGGGAGGGCAGGAAAGAAGAAGCATTATGATCTATGATGTAAGGCATAAAGTGCCCTCAAAGTAGCTATAAACCTCTACTAAGAAGCTTTAAAGGGTTTTCATGAGTAAAGATAGTAAAGCGAGTATTATAGCTGAAGGACATGGCAGAGGCAAGAAAAGTCAACACATATTGCCTTGCTTATCTTTAGATATTATGACAATATACAGAATACATGGCCTGGTATGTTTTCCAGTTTGAAACTATTCTCTGGTTTATTTGCTTTCTGTTCAGAAAATTTTCCTATAGTTCACAAAATGATTTGCTTCTCAGAAAATTAGGTTCTTCACTTGATGCAAACATTGTACAACTTTAATCATTTTAATAATTCTGGTCTTTGGTTTAAAACAGACTTGCTTTAGATTTCAAGAGCGGGAATGATGTTGCCTTCCACTTTAACCCACGCTTCAATGAAGACAACAGGAGAGTCATTGTTTGTAATACAAAGCAGGATAATGTCTGGGGAAAGGAAGAAAGACAGCATGTTTTCCCATTTGAAAGTGGCAAACCATTCAAAGTAAGTTACCGCTACCATTATATATTGATAATGTATATTTCTCATGGGGAATTATTCTAACATCATAATTTTATCACTTGTTCTGGGTCACCTAACCAGTGCATCTCCGACCCATCCCAGGGGGCTGGCTCAGCAGACTGGGAACAGGGCCAGGAATGGGACACTTGCCAACTCCATTCAAGCCCTCACCATCATTACCATTACCAACCCCCCCTGAGTTTAAGTCTTTTTGGAAATGAAGAAAAAGAAAAGGCATCTTTCATAAAAAAGGAAGTCTTCATGGTACAGTTGGACTGAGACTTAGTTTCTTAAAACAATGTAGTTGGCATGATGATCAAAACTAACTTTTTAAAATTCTAAAATTAAATACTTGTTTTATGAGAAGAATTTATCGTTTTTATTAAATAAAAAGTCCTCTGTCCTTTACTTCTTCCCTTCCTAACAAAGATTACAATTTGGTATCATTTCAAAGTACTTTCTATGGTATTCAACACAGTTTTTATTTTTAAGCACAAATAAGATTTCCTTCTTCAACAGTTATTTATTGGGTCAACAGCATTGAGTTAAGGTTTAGTGTAGAGTGGTAAATAAAACCACTGTTCTGTAAGATCCACAGGGAGGGCTGATAGGGACCATATTCTTCATTTGGTGGCCATCTTTCCATATCAGAACATATCATTTAATAGTATTTTATTTGGATTTATGATCATTTCATTCCCCTATTGATGATTATTTCCAGGTTTATTTTTACTAAAATACTGTAAAAACTATCCTTATACACATAAATATTTGTTTCCTAGAAGAATAATTTTATTCAAGGACTATAACTAATCACTGCCGTAGAGTCAATTCTGACTCATAGCGGTCCCTCCTTGGGTTTCTGAGGTAGTATCTCTAGTAGATTGCTCAGTCTTTCTTCTAATCAAGGAGTATACATGTTTAAAATTTAGATAAATTTGCCAAGTAACTGCTGCCCAAGGACATGAGGACTAACACATCCACTGTCTATTAGAAGAGTATGTTTCTCCTACTCTTGACAAAAATGACTATTATCAATCATTGTTAACATTTGCCAGTCTGTTGGGAGTTTCCCACCTTAGTATTTATTTTTTACATTTAGGTGTTTTAGGCCATAAAAAGTTATTTTTTTTTAAAAAATTGTTCTGTAGTTGAGAATGTACACAGCAAAACATGTACCAATACAAGCTTCTACATGTACAATTCAGTGACATAAAAATTTTTGTATGTGTTTCTATAGATTATTAATCTTTTCCTTTGCAGTTTTGCCTGTGTGAAGACTTTGAATAATTTTACTGCTTCGTCTCTTTTGTTTGTCTTTGATTAATTTAGAGTTTATTTTTTCTGTAAAGTACTTTTGTGTAGGCTTGATTCAGTTCCATAAATGATAATAAAAGTGTAATGTTGGTTATCTGGAGTTCAGGCCAGACCAGCTTTGAAATGACTGGGCATTTCTAACAGTTCTGTGTATGTGCCATTGCAGATACAGGTCCTGGCTGAAGCTGACCACTTCAAGGTTGCGGTCAATGATGTTCACTTGTTGCAGTACAATCATCGGATGAGAAATCTCAAAGAAATCAACAAACTGGGGATTTCTGGTGATATAGACCTCACCAGTGCTTCCCATGCTATGATATAATCTGAAAAGAGCAATACTTTTTTAAAAAATGAAATTTGCAATATAAACCTTAAACATTTAAAAAGCTTCATGTTCACTGAGTGAAAATTTTAAGTTTATTCATCAGTATCCTCCTTGTAGACCCTCCATTTAATAAATATTCTGTCTTTATATATCATTTAAGTGGAACAGTTTATTCTAGATAATGCAGTGGACTCAATAGAGAATTTGTAATAATATTGATAATGTTCTCTTGGTTTTTATGAAATCTCTAGATTTGTACAGATAAAACCCAAGTAGCTTCTTTTTCAGATAAATAGTCAGCTTTAAAAATTTATTTGTTCTCATTGTCAAAATTCTTATCATACTTTTCTGTCCTTAGTTCCAACAAGCCCAAAAGTTAGTAAAATTTCAAAACTAGGATATAGTCACACCACTTCATTTTATAGAAAACCAAGATATTATTTTTATCTATGATTATTTCTATAATACCATCTTTCTAATACTTTAAATTGGTAATTGTCACAGATTGGGTTTCCCAGGAAGTAAAGAAATTCATACGCAAGAGGTTTATGACGGAGTGCTCTTACGATGAACACTTGTGAGGGGAGAAGGTAAAGGATTGGGCAGAGGGAGGAGGAATTGAGTTTCCTCAGTCTACCCTATCCTACCTGGATGAAGGTGAGATGACCTTTCAGATTAGTTCTGAGTTATGGGGTAAGGAAGTCAACTCTTTGTATCAGCACTTCAGTTACTCACTGAATACAGTTCTCCTGGGGAACAAGTTGTGACCTTTGTTGAAATGACTTTCTTGGACTGAGGCAGTGCTTATTATGGGATGAAAGCTGCTGAAGGCATTAAGTCCTTCTGTTCTAAAAAAGGATCTTGGAAGCACATCACAGCTTATTTAAAAGAATATGTAAATTCCTTACCTAACATTTGATCTCTTAACTCTTTTACTCATATGACCAAATGGAAAACCAAACTTTGGAGACAAGAGACAGACAGGTATTTTCTAGCTATTTGACTTTGCACAAATCTACTTAAACCCTCTGAGCCTTGGTTTCTTTGTCTATAAAACAGGTGGTATAATACATCTTACAGTGTATCTGTGATTATTAAGTGAAATACTACTTGGAAAGGGACCTAGCCTTAAAGGAGAAGCCAACACCAAAGATGGAGAGTGAACAATGGATAGAAGGTTGAACCTTGATGTCAACATGTGATTGTAAATTACCTGGAATCACTCTGAGGATTTGTGAAACAATTTATTACTAAACCAGTTCAAGTCCATCTTACTATTATTTTGGCTATACTATAATAGCCAAAAGCTTTCTAAATGATTCAGTAATACATATTATGAAAGCTACAAAAAAAACCAAAAACGTTTTCTGACACTTATTCTCATCTGCCTTATCTGTAAGGTCAAACATTATCATGTAGATTGTGAGCCTTGGGTTATTTTGTACTAACCTCTTTTAGGTGGTCATGACCCAGGGCCCTTAGAAAACCCTAACTTTTATATATGTTTCTTTGTTCAGCATGGCCTGATTGAATTATTCATTAATGGGCTGTTAAATCTACTTTTACCTTTTGGTAAGACTGAGGATTCTACGGTCCAGTCACCCACAAACACTGTATCTATACATTCTTCTAAGCCAGCACCTCATCTTGCTTCCCCATAGCCCACATGGACTTGAGGATAAATACTTTATTTCCCCCAAGCGTAATATATCTTTGTCTGCAAGAAAAGCAGCAGTGTTTCCTTTTGTCTGAAAAACCCTAACTTTGTGGGGGTTGACCACAAAGTTGCTCCTTACTTGTGAATGCTTCTTACCCTCGACTCAGAGATAACTAGACCCAGGTCGAGATTCTGGATAGTGTGGGAGAGCAATGTGGAGCAAAACTCAAAATCATAAAGGAAAGATCAGGTTAAAGAAGAAGTAAAACTATGCCTATTTGCTGATGATATGATCCTATACCTAGAAAACCCAAGAGACTCAGTAAAAAAACTACTGGAACTAACAGAGGTTTAGCAAAGCGGTAGGATACAAGATCAACATACATAAATCAGTTGAATTCCACTATACCAGCAAAGAGATTGCTAAAAAAGAACAATTTTACCCAAAGCAATTTATACTTTCAATGCAATCTCAATCCACATCCTATCTAAAACTTCCTGGTATTGTTACAATGACAGACACACAGACCAATGGAACAGAATTGAGAACCCAGAAATAGATCCATCAACCAACCACTGGTCAGCTGATCTTTGACAAAGGGCCTAAATCCATTAAATGGGGAAGAGATTGTCTGTTTAACAAATGGTGCTGGCAAAATTGCATATACATTTGCAGAAAAATTAAACAAGATCCATACCTCACACCATACATAAAAAACTAACTCTAGGTAGATCAAAGATTTAAATGTGAAACCTAAAACTGCAAAGTTCCTCAAGGAAAAAATAGGGGCAAATTTAGGGGCCCTAATATATGGCATCAATAGACTATCACGCATAACCCAAAATGCACAAACAACAGAAGATAAATGGGACCTTCTAAAAATTAAATTTTTATGTGGTTTCAAAGACTTCTCCAAAAGAGTCAAAAGAGAACCTACAGATTGGGAAAAAATATTTGGCAAAGGCATATCTGACAAGGGACTTATCTCTAGAATTTATAGAAAACTCCAACACCTCTACAACAAAAAGACAAATAATCCGATTAAAAAATGGACAGAAGACATGAATAGACACTTCATCAAAGAGGATAGATATTCAGGCGGCCAACAAACATACGAAGAAATGCTCATGATCATTAGCCATCAGAGAGATGCAAATCAAAACAATGAGATAGCATCTTGCCCCAATACTAGTAGCAAAGTCCAACAAGACAGAAAATAAATGCTGGCGAGGATGTGGAGAGACTGGGACTCTCATACACTGCTGGTGGGACTGTTAAATGATACAACCACTGTGGAAAGCAGTATGGTAAAATTCCTTAAAAAGCTGAAATTAGAAATACTATTTGACCCAGCAATTCCATTACTAGGTATATATCCTAAAGAAGTGAGAGCCAGAACAAGGACAGATAAATGCACACCCATGTTAACTACAGCACTATTTACAATAGCAAAAAGATGGAAACAACCTAGTTGCCCATCAACAGAAGAATGGATAATCAAACTATGGTACATACACACAGTGGAATATGATGCAACCCTAAAGAGTAATGTAGAATCTGCAACACACGGCATAATGTGGATGAACTTGGAGGATATTATGCTTAGTGAAATAAGTCAATCACAGGACAAATATTTTATTAGTCCATTATTGTAAAAAGTCAAGGAAAGGTTTATATATGGAAGGAGATTTTCTTTGCTTATTACCATGGGTGAGAGGAGATGGGAGGGGAGGGAACACTGTTAGATAGGTAGAGACAAGTATCGATTTAGGTAAAGAGAAGGCAATGTACCAAATGTGAGTGATCAACATCATGGCATTGAGGGAAGAGGATGACAGAGGTGCATGGGAGGTACAGAAAACAATGATGAACCCTTTTTCACATACAGTACTGTGTTGTCAGTGAAGGCAAACATTGATTTACGGGTGGATAGATGGGTGGACAGGCTGAACTATTATGTTTGTGCAAGGGGAAGTGTGCCCATAACCCTGTACAGAGTTGGCAGACAATGTTTCTACAAGTGTATTTGTATATTCTATAAGAATTTCCAGGTAAATAGTAGAGCTGGCAAGGGACAAGTTTGTAGTCACTTCTTTGCCACAGCCAGCTACCCTGAGGGAGCAAGTAGTTGGACCTGTGGGCTTGGGACCATACTTGCAGGGGACATCCAGTTCAACTGGCATAACATACTACACAAAAACAATGTTCCACATCCTACTTTGTTGAGTAGCAACTGGGATCTTAAAAGCTTGCAAGCAGCCATCTAGATGCAACAATGGATCTCTCCTCATCCAGAGCAAAGAAGAATGAAGAAAACCAAAGATTCACGGAAACAATTAGTCCTCGTGACTGGTACACCATGCGATCCTCAACCTATACAACTATGAGATCAGAAGAACTAGAGGGTGCCTGGCTACCACAATCAACCACTCAGAAAGGGATCAGCACAGGAGATCCTAGATAGAGTAGGGGAACAATATGGAGCAAAACTCAAAATCATAAAAAAGACCAGGTGTGTTGGTCTGATAAAGACTGGTGAAACCCCTGAGACAATGGCCCCTAGCTACCCTTCAGGTCTGGAATTGAACCCACTCCTGCGGCTTCCAGCCAAGAAAGACAGGCCTATGAGCTGAACATCTATACTAGGTAGATACACTCCTTGGAGAGAACAATCATGGGAGAATGGAAGGGCTGTGTATGCACAGGGAGATACTTGGGGGCAGGAGTGCATGGAGGGAAGGACACAGGGAAGAGGTTACTATGGGGAGGAAGTGGAAGGGGAGCTGTTGCATTGTGGGAAATTACAGTTAATGCCATGAGACAGTGTATGTGAGCTGCTGTACAGAAAGTGAATTTGCTCCATAAACTTTCACCCAAATCACACTCACACACAACAAGACCAGGTTTACTGGTCTGATAGAGCCTGGTGAGACCCCTGAGACTAAAGGCCCTAGTTACTCTTCAAGTCTGGAACTGAACTCACTTCTGTGGCTTCCAGCCAAACATTTACATCAGGCAAATAAACTCCTTAAGATGATCAATTGTGGGAGAACAGAAGGGCAGTGTTTGAGCAGGGAGACAGCTCTGGGCAAGAATGCTTAGGAAAGGACACCAGAAAAAAGGTAACTACAGGGACGAAGTGGGAGGAGAGCTGTTACATTGTGGAGAATTACAGTCAATGTCATGAAACAAAATGTGTATGAACTGCTGTATGGAAAATGAATTTGCTCAGTAAATCATAATAAATATTTTAAAACAGAAAGAAAGAACTAGACCCAGGTCTAGATACAAAGTTAAGCTACTCTGAGTCTTCTTGATGCTGTTATTCAGATGGTTGTATCTTCTATAGTTAAGAGTTTTGAAAGTAAAAATATTTCAAGCACATTAAGTGACTGATATAATTCTCTTCAAGGAGAGATGGCACTTCTATCAATCATGTCAGAGGAAAATGAAAAAAGGTGTACCACACGAATGCAAGATGTTAATAAAAGGAGACATTGTGAGCTGGGGAAAGGGATATATAAGAATTCTGTACTTTCTGAGCAACATTCCTATAAACATAAAAGTGCCCTAAAAAAATAAAGTGAAAAACAAAAAGAAAGAAAAAGACAAGAATTTAATGGCCATTTCAATAATTTAATCATTTTAAACCACAGCACATAAACTGACCAGAATATAGAATCTCATCTAAAGAGATTCAATATACACTGGAAAATGCAATATATAAAGCTGTTCAACATTAACAGATTTAGGGGTTCAAATTAAGAATATAAAAGATTAAAATATTTCTATTAAAGTTTAATTTTACATTTTGATTAAACTGAAGAGTGCTGCATTAGTTCTAAGTAGGTACACTTAGCTTAAAGTTTATGCATTCTGTGTGGCTAATAATATATCATATCCCAATTTCCCTTGAGAAACAGTCTGATACCTAAAACGCTTTGATGAACATGGAATATTAAAACATTACATGACAATATATAAATGGGTTGAATGGAAATTAACACAGCCATATTCTTCAAATTTTAATATTTCTAAAATAGTACCACAGCATTGATAATATGAAGAATAAATTTTGGACTTTTAAATTCAGTGTTCTGGTTGTTCTCCACTAAGGGGCCTTAGAGGTGAAAAGGAAATCAGGTTACCACCAAAGGAAATGTTTCTGGAATGTTCTTGATGTCTCCTCCCCATCTGAGCAAATGGATTACTGCCATTCACGCTTGGCTAGAGTAAGAGAAATCATTAAAGTGACCATTAAGAGTTTTACCAATTAAGTCTTTAACATTGCTAGTTACTAGTGGATTCATTAATAACATATAATTTTTTCTATATAATAAAATATAACATGAATTATTAATGAATCCATTAAAAACAATGATTATGCTACTTTACAAGAGATCTAATTGTAAATATACAGCTTTTTTTAAAAAAAATTGTAAAGGTATATTAGGAATACATGCTTAAACAAAGTGATGAGTAATATTCCTAAAGGGACTTAGGCAGCATATTGCAGATTCTACAAACTGTAGAATCCATATAACAGCACTTTACCATATAGCATTTTACCACAGTGGGATCCTTCTTTTTTTTCCCCCTCAAGTGCTACTTCGGCTTAAAATGAGCTACTGGGCTCATAATAATTTGACCCAAAAATAGAGAAGTGGACCTATATAAAAGTATATCGAAAATACCTAAATATTTATGGAAGGGTAAAGAGATCACAGGGAGACAAAATTATGAGTATTAAGATTTATCACAGGTCCTTGGGTAGACTACTAGCCGGAAGGTTAGTGGTTCGAACCCACCCAGAGGTGTCTTAGAAGACAGGCTTGGCAATCTGCTTCCAAAAAAATCTCAGCTTTGAGAAGCCTAAAGAACAGTTCCACTCTAAACACATCGGGTCACTATGAGTCAGAGTTGACTCAATGGCAACTAATAACAGCAACTCAAGTTTATGTGATAATGTATAATTCTGAAATGCTTTTAATCATATTACTGGTTCATCCAAAACAGAATATTCATTAATTCCCAGGCTTACTTACAATGTCATATGTTATCAGAACTGATCATTAAGAGTTCAGATATGGGATAAGGATTAAATCAGTCTCAGTCTATGATTAAGGAAGGCTAAGGCCAAGGAAAGAACAGTATGCCAGTCACAGTAATCCACTTCATTCTATTCCTGAGACACAGGGCAGCACAAAAGCTTGATCCCAAAGAAAGCTTGGAAAAATAATGAAAGCCAAGAGATACAGGGGTCCTTACAGAATAAGTAGTTTAAGGAAGGTATGCATTTGCAGGGCTCATGAGGTTGACAAAAACTGTTGCTATTTGAACCTACACTAGCCTTAATGAAAATCTTATACTGTGGAATCAAAAAAATCAGCAAACAAAAGCCATCTTCTGACCTACTTCAGTGGTTGCCCCTGGACAATGTCAAAATAAGGCTTTAAACTATACTTGTCAATCCTGGTTGCAAATTAGAATCATCCAATGAAGAAAACAACACTAGGGTCCTATTCCAGATCATTGAAATAAAAATCTCTGGGGGTGAGGCTAAAAATCAATGCTGTAACACTGAAAAGGCAAGTGAGCATTACTCCCTTATGCCAGTCATACACCCTTCATTTATGCTTATGAATCAGGCAGCTCTGCTTAATAAAGAATTTGTAGTTAAAAAGGGAGATAGATTCCTGAAATGATAATACATTCACATTATACTCTTTAATAAGAGATTAAATGTAGACATGGCTTGCACTGCATTTGTGCATACATATACATTAACAAGGGAGATGAGAATAGGAAGGATTTACAAGAGGACTAATGTCTGAACTAGATTTAAAAGTAAAAGCCCACCAAAAGTTAATCCTGGAGTAAGCATCCAAACAAAAGAGCAGGATATAAATACAATAATCTAGAAGAATTAGAACTAAGATAACCAATGATGACTAAAGGTGAGATAGACATCCCCAGTTCTATGTTTCAGAAGGGCAAAAATCTAGCCATATATTTTTCTTGCATGATTTATAAATACCCAGTATAATCCAAGCCACATAATAGATACTGAAGTACTCAACCACCTTATTATAATAAATTTGGTGCATAAATTATATATGGAAATGAATCTTAAGAGTTTAATAATAAAACAGATGATATTTCCAGGTTTTTAAGTACAGAATGTTGTTTTTCTAGCTTGAGAAAAATGAGTAACAAATGGATTTCAGAGCAAGCAAAATGACAAAGGTATAAATTTTAAACTTGGTATTAAAAAGTAATATTTACTTTATAAAAGAAATCTGATTGACATAAAAAATAGAAAGGAATTTATACAGAAACTTACTGAATCAAGAAGATGGCATTCAGTAGTGAGACTTTTATTATCAAATAGTACTGAAAAACAAAAAAATGAAATAATAATTTTAACTTTCTAAGGAATATTTTTACAATCAAAGGTTGTTAGGAATGTATACAGCCTTAAACTCAATGGCAACTAATAACAGCAACTCAGGTTTCTGTGATAATGTATAACTCTGAAATGCTTTTAATCATACTACTGGTTCATCCAAAACAGAATATTCATTAATTTCCAGGCTTACTTAAAATGTCATGTGTTATCAGAATTGATCATTAAAGAGTTCAGATATGGGATAAGGATGGGAAAAGTTCCACATATCAAACGCTAAAAGAAAAATATAACTCTTTTTACGCTATAAAGGAGAACTGATGGTGCAGCATTTAAGTGCTCTGCTGTAGAGAGGTTGGCAGTTTGAATCCACTACTGCTCTATGGGAGAAAGATGGGGCCCTAACTTGTGTAAAGACTTACAGCCTTGGACACTCTGTGAGGCAGTTCTACTCTGCCTATAGGGTCGCTAGGAATCAGAATTGACTTGAGGGCAATGGAGTTGTTTTTTTTTTAATGCTATGTTGTAACATTTTTTAAAAATGTAGTTAATTTTTTTTTTTTTTTTTTTTTTACTAATTCTAATCTTTAACCTCAGTATAAAAAGAGTATTCTGTAAACCAATAGTATGCTTTTAATGTAGGAGGTACCTACAAAATGCTGGATGAAAAACACAGTTGAAGGGCAAGCATTAAATGTCTGCCCAAGGTTATACTGTTTTATTTTGCATTAGGTGCCAGAGACCAGCACATAGAATAAAACCTACTGCCATCAAATTGCTTCTGACTCATAGCGACCCTTTTGATGAAAATAGCAGGTGAAACTGTCCACAAAAGTAAAAAGCTGTTTCCTATTGCAGAATAGATTTTTACCTATAGAGATACCACCTCAAAAACCCAAGGAGGGGTCACAACGAATCAAATTGGCTCAATGGCAGTGTTCGTTTTTTGTTGCAGGATAATCACAACACAGTAGGAACAGGAATTGTGGGAAAAATAATAAAATGGTGCATTTGAAAGAGAGGTTAGGGTATGTGTTGGAAAAAAGTAAATAACCTTTAGGGAATTTTTCTAATTCTGCATCTTGACAAGCAAATACTTAGGCCTAATGAAAATGCATCCCTGGGTGATGCAAATGGTTAACCGCTCAACTACTAGCCAAAAGGTTGGCAGTAGTTCGAACCCATGCAGAGAAGCCTAAGAAATGAGGCCTAGCGATGGTTCAGCTGCACATACGGGGTTGCCGAGAGTTGGAATTGCCTTGATGGCAACCAACAACAAATGTAAAATGCTCCTTACATCCAACTGGGATTAGTATCTGTGCTATTAGATTTCTATTAGATCTCCTTAAGGGGAGGAGAGTGGACCATGGAGTGCTACAACACAAACTGCTTCTTATAAGAAGATATTTACTGTGGTGGTCCAATTCTTCAACCTTCATCCTTACAAACTGGTACTCTGAAGTATTTAGAATGATCTATACCTTAGTCTGGGAGCTCTGATGGCATAGTGCCTAAGGCATCTGGCTGCTAACCAGAAGGCTAGCAGTTCAAACCCACCAGCCACTCTTCGGAAGGAAGATTGGGCAATCTACTTCTATAGCGATACCGCTTCAGAAACCCAAGGAGGGGTCGCTGTGAGTAGGGATCAGATTGACAGCAGTGAGTTTGGTTTTTCGGTATACCTTAGTTCAAATTCATTTATTAAACAAAGCTGCCTTTAAATATATTATAAAAACCTCACCTGATTGACATAAAGACATTTTAGTTTCTTCTTCCTGTGAGATGTTATTTTGTGGCGGTACATGTTTCTCAGGGCTACTCATCAAAACATCTTGTGCTATAATGGAAGAATTCAGTTCCATTCCTTCTACAACATCTGAAACTTCTTCCAGTTTTTTATTATCATCTGGCACTTCACCATTAAGTAGAGGTAAATCCATTCTTTGACTGGGTAAACAATCCATCTCAAAGTTTATCTTATTTGCATCCTGGAAGTAAAGATTAGTATTATATTTAATTACCAAAACTGGAATAAAGTTTTATTGCTATTAAAAACAAGAAAAATAGAAGGATGACATGAACACAGGCTAAAGGACTGTAAATCCTATCTTGCTTCCTTAACAATTAGTTCAAATAATACGACAGAAATAGTATGAACAAAAGTAACTTTCTCAGGCAGTATCTATACTTCATTTCAGAGGTTGGCAAACATTTTCTGTAAAAGATCATGTACCGTATCTTAGGCTTTCTGTGTGATAGGGTCTTTATCATCACTACTCAACTCTGCTCCACCACGGTTATCTCAAAAGCAGCCAGAGACAATATGTAAATAAATAAACATGGCTGTGTCCCTATAAAACTTTATTTATTAAAATGGAGGCCATAGTTTGTCCATCTCTGCTGTAGTTCTCTTGCTCCATAGTCACCTGGATGTAAGGCAAAGAATAAAATATGGTGCTACAGTTTCAAACAAGCCAAAGGCCTTTGTAATAAGAAATGTTATTCTGTATGACTAATTTTGATCTCCAATGGAAATGCTGGGGGTTGTTTATGTAGTTACTATGTTGTTGTTATGTGCCATCGAGTCTACTATGTATAATGATATAAATAGATAACATAGAGGGTTATCAACTGCACAGGAATAGGACTTACACGGTTTACTTCAATTAAATCCTGTAATCCAGGACTCTGGGCATCTGCTACCATGCTGTTCCTTAACAAGAAAAAAGCAGCATTATACTCACATACTTAACATACTGCTATCATTCATTCCATGTTTTGAGTCAATCCTTTATACAGTTAGTTTACAGAATGGATCAAAGATGGAATCTGGTTCAAGATCAGGCCTGATGCAAAAAGACTGGTTTTGGACTATGGCCTTACAAACTAAAGCATTCTTCTACTGCTCATAAGCCTGTTACCATGCTGCTTAGTCAGGCTAATATAGATCTACCAGTAATACTCTAACTCTCAGCCAAATTAAGAGTCACACACTAGGGAAAGGTCAGGCTGAAGTTGACTTCTGTGGGAGATGTAAGCAACAAGTCAATTATTTTGTAACTGGAGCTTGCTACATTTATTTATTTATTTATACCACAATATAATGTAATCCTGGGGTTCTTGCATTTCACTGGAAATACCTTAGTCTCTTCAAAAAAAATTTTAATTTTTTTTAAAAAGTATATTTTATTTTTCTAGATTTCAGATTTACTTTGTTTTCACTGCCTGAAGTTGTTTACTTACAAGATATTCTCTTTCAAGATTATTTTTGGGAATTAGGTAAAAAAAAAAATTAAAGAGTACTTTTAATATTATTATTCAAATACAATTATGGATTTTGTTCATGAAAGGTAATTAAAGAATATACAAAGTAAAGCAACTTGCATTTAAGAAATGACAATTGGTATGTTATAATCCATGAGTTTCCAGAACACCTAAAATATCTTAGCCCCCTGAGGCTAAATATACTTCGGTAATTGTTAAAAATTAATAGGGTACTCTATTTTTTGTTGTTGTTGTTGAAAAACTTGTTTGTGCTATGCAGAGCAGTCAGTGCTGTCCCACCTCCAGATTTCTAACAGGTCAATCAGGCCTCTCTGGGTGCCAGACTATACTTTTATTTCCTACTTAAAGTATCTGTTTCTTACCATATTTTCAGAGCATTTATTTTCCAAGAACCTATATCAGTAATTTTGATGCATTTGTGTGGAGGCAGTACTGTGTAGTAAAAGAATGCAGGCAGTATCTAGTTTCATCAATTATAAATTCTCTTTCCATAAAGATTACAGTCAACAAAACTGTGTGATGCTCAGTTCTACTCTAAAACATATAAGGTTACCAAGAGTCAGAATTGACACAATAGCTACAGGTTTGGGTTTTTAAGTTTGGGGTAAGTTACTAACTTGTTTTCACACTTGAAAAATGAGAAACAAGTACCTACCCTACAGTGTTATTATGTGGGTTAAATGAAATGACACGTTAAGGACCCAGAAACACGTTCAGCCCATGTTAGTTATTCAGTGCACATTAGCTTCCCCTTCTCAACGTTCTGCAATCTGTCAAGACTCAATTTTAAGATACTTTCTATAAAAGCTAATATAAGAATTCACCTGTCAATGACCCTATATAAAGGAGGCATCAGCATTGCTGTGATATTTTGGTTTTTTAAAACTTTATTTTTATTTGGGTGAAATTTTACAGAGCAAAGTAATTTTCCATATAGCAGTTCATACACATTTTGTTTCATGACACTGACTGAAATTCCCTACAATGAACAGCTCTCTTCCCACTGCCTCCCTGTAGTTACCTCCTCCCTGTGTGTTGTCCCCCCACCCCGCCCCCAGCTATCTCCCTGTGCAAACACTGCCCTTCTGTTCTTCCACGATTGATCACTCTAAGGAGTGTATCTACCTGGTGTAAATGTTCACCCTTTATCCCTGTCTATTGTTTGTCTGGAAGCCACAGGAGTGAGTTCAGTTCCAAACCGGAAGGGTAACTAGGGGCCAAAGTCTCAGGAGTCTCACCAGGCTCTATAGGACCAGCAAATCTGGTCTTTTATGATTTTGAGTTTTGTTCCACGTTGTTCTCCCACTCTATCTTGGATCTCCTACACAGATCCCCTTTTGAGTAGCTGACAGTGGGGGAGCTGAGCACTATTAGTTCTTCTGGTCTCATGGTTATATAGGGTGAGGATCGCATGGTCTACTACTCCCTTGGAATAAACGTTTCCATACATCTTTGGTTTTCTTTATTCTTCTTTGCTCTGGACAAGGAGGGACCCATCATTGCATCAAGATGGCTGCTTGCAGGCTTTTAAGCCCCAGTCACTACTTACCAAAGTAGGATGTAGAACAATGTTTTTGTGTAGTATATTATACCAGTATATTATACCTTGATGTCCCCTGCAACCACGGTCCTGAGCCCACAGGTCCAGCTACTCGCTCCCTCAGTGTAACTAGCTGGCTTGGCCAAGGAGCCACCACAATGCTGCCCCTTGTCAGCTCTGCTGTAAACCCGACATTCTTACAGCACATACAGATATGCATGGAGAAACATCTCCCAACCCTATACATGGTCATGGGCACACTGCCCCCTGCTTAGACATACCTGATCAACCTATTCACCCATCTATCCTCCCACAGATCAACTGCATTGATGTTTCAGATGAAAATGAAGCTGTTATGGATTGAATTGTGTTCCCACTAAATATGTGTAAATCCTATCTATCCTCTATGCCTGTGGTTATAATCCCATTTGGGAATGCGTTGTCTTAGTTATGTTAATGCAGCACAACTACTGTGGGGTGTTCTTGAGTCAACCTTTTCTGAGATATAAGACAAATTAAATAAGTAAGCCAGGGAACAAAGATGGGTGAAGAGAGATGCCAAGCTACAGAAAGACTATCCAGGAGCAGAAGCTCCAAAGAAATAAGGCTCTTCCTTCAGAACCAATAAAGAGAAAAAGCCTTCTGCTAGAGCCAGCACCCTGAATTCAGACTTCTAGCCTCCTAAACTGTGAGAAAATAAATGTGTTTGTTAAAGCCACCCAGTGAGGTTCCTATTACAGCAGCACTAGATAACTAGGAAGCTGAGAGAATTAATTAACTTGCCCCAAAGGTTTTAAAGCTGGTAAAAGTCAGAGTAGGTTTTCAGTTCAGATCTGTCAAACACCAAAGCTACAGAAATGGCTTTTTTTCCTTAGTTCTGCAGAATTTACTTTGCCCATCTAAATATAACCATTCACCAATGTGAAATATTTAGCCTCAGTTTCCTTACTTAAAAAATGGAAGTGCTGCCTATACATTAGAGTCATTGTGAAATTAAATTAAAAGTATACATCTATACTGTATGATCTCAGTTAAAATACCTAGAACAGGAAAATGCACAGAGACCAAAATTTAATAGCAGTTAGGAGGGGCAGGTGGGAGGAGGAAATGGAGAGTTATTACTTAACAGACATGAATTTCTGTTAAAGGTGATGAAAATAATTTAAAAATGTATAGTGATGATGGTTGCACAACACAATGAATGTAATTAATGTCAATGAATTGTACACATAAAAATGGTTGAAATTGCAAATGTTTTGTTATATGTATTTTATCACCATAAAATGTTCAAAAAATTTATACACACACACAGCACATTTTACCAGTTTAACAATCTGAAATAGTCAGCATTCTATTAAACTCTTAACAGCATGTTAATATTAATACCTGTTTTCAGGATTATTTGAAAGCAAAGTCTTATCAGCAATATATTCACTTTTATTACTGTGAAGATCAGGAGTCTCTGGTGCTGTCTGTCTTAGAATGTTCATCTCAGGTTTGCTCTGAGACACAGCTTTGCCGACAGATTTAGGTGTTCTAAGTCTTTGAGAAAGACGCTCAGAAGAGATGGAAAGTCCTAGAAGATGAGAGAAACCACCTAAACATCAAAATAGTTCTTCATTCAATTTTCATTTTAACTAGAACAAAAGTAAAAATTCTTCCTATCTTCCACCAAGTAACCAGCCGTTTCCCCTGACTAATGTTTGGTTAAAGTAAAATGCCTGGGATCATCAGTTAAAGAAAGTACTGAAGACACACATTAGACATGGCTTCCTCTTGATACCCCATTCTGTAAGATTAACAGAGAAAAACTTAAGAGGCAGAAATCTGCAAGGACAAAGGAAACTAAAGAGCCAACAAGAAAATTTTGGAAGCTGTAATGTAGATGAGTGAGTGGTATAATAGCTAGCAGATCCAAGAAAAGGAATTCTAAGCCACTAGTGAAGAAAGATGAAAATAAACACAATTATACCAGAGAACTCTGAAAGGAGGCCCCAAGTAAAGTGGAGATAAAAGTGGAGCTAAAAATAGGAAGACTGTTGCAAAGTCAATTAAAGAACAATTAGACATGAATATAGATGCAAAAATCTTCAACAAAATCCTAGCCAATAGACTCCAACAGCATATCAAGAAAATCATTCATCATGACCAAGTGGGGTTCATA